GCATACATCACAATTTCCTTCCTTTTATGCACAAACAATACTCCATTGTTTATATATACCACATTTTGTTTATCTATTTTCTGTTGATGGATGCTTGGACTGTTTTATGCCTGTTGGCTAGTGTGACTGCTATGAATGTGGGTACACAGATTTTAGTGTAGACACCTGTTTTTAATTATTTTGAGTATGCACTCAGAGTGGAATTGCCTGGTCATGTGGTAACTGTTTTTAACTCATTGATTAACCATCCAAATGGATTTGTTTTCCTTGTGTTGGGGGAGAATAGGCATTAAGTTTATGTATGTTTCCATATCTGAGGACATACATGCATGGTAGTGCAATGTATGTGCATATTTGTATATATGGAGGCCAGAGGTAGACATTAAGTGTCCTCCTCAACAACTCTCTACCTTATATATGGAGAAATAGTCTCTCACTTGAACCTAGAGCTGGTCAACTGAGCTGGTTAGTGTAGCTACTTAGCTTACTCCAAGGGTCCCTGACTCTGTTTCCTGTGTACTGGGATTATAGATGGACCACCACACCCACCTGGCATTTATATAGGTACTGGATATCTAATCTCCATTCTTGACACTTGAAATATCTCCCCAATGAGCAATCTCAGGAGCCATTCATTTTGTTTTTGAGATGTCTCATTTAACCTGGAGCTCCACTACTAAGCCAGTGAGCCCCAGAAGTAGTCTACCTGTCTACAGTTCCCCTGCACTGGGATTACAAATGTTAACCATCAGGCCCAGATTTTTGTATTTTAAAGTTCTATTTATTTTATTTGTACGAATGTTTTGCCTGTATGTATGTATTGTGTGAGTGCTTGGTGCCCTCAGAGCTCAGAAAAGGGCATCAGATCCCATGGAGTTAGAGATGGTTGTGAGCCAACATGTGGGTTCTGGAAAGCAAACTTGGGTCTTCTTGAAGAGCAGACTTCTCTTAACCATTGAGCCATCTCTCCAGCCCCAGGCCTAGATTTTGGCATGGGTTTTGGGTAGCAAACTCAGAGCCTCATGCTTGGAAGACAAGTATATTACTGATGAACTACTTCCCAGCCCTATGCAAATGGTTTCTATAGTTCTTTTTGCCCTTTTGCTTTTGAACATGTTTATTCAGCTTCCTATTACAGTAATAAAATGCTTGATACAATCATCTTATAGAGAGAAAAGTTTTCCTTTGGCTTACAGGATTGGAGCTTTCACCTTGCTAATTCACTGGCCATGGCTTTGGACCTGTGTCTTAGCAAATCAATATGGTATAGCAAAACCACTGTGTGTATCACAAAGTAGAAAAAAAGAGGCCAGGGGGCTGGAGAAATGGCTTAGAGGTTAAGAGCACTTGACTGCTCTTCCAGAGATCCTGAGTTCAATTCCCAGCAACCACATGGTGGCTCGCAACCATCTCATAATGAGATTTGGTGCCCTGTTCTGGCCTGCAGACATACATGGAGGCATGATGTTGTATTCATAATAATAAGTAAATAAAATCTTTTTAAAAAGAGGCCAGTGCCGTGCCTGCACGGCCTGGGACCGAGAATCTGCGGAGGGTGTTGGGATTAACAACACAGAGAACTGGCTTGGTGCTCAGAAGGCTCTTTATTTTTTTCCTGGGCTAGTTTTATACCATAGCACCAGAAGAGGGAGGGGGAGCTCAGGAAGAGGCGGTTAGTCTCAAGCCTGGGTTCAGGAACATTCTGCTCCAGTAAACATGTTTTGCAACGGCATTGGGGGCTTGTTAGGTTTCTGTCAGGGCCACTTTTTTTCCCACAGCCAGAATCTTACTATCCACTTTGAGGGCACACTGACAATGACAATGACAAGGCCTCCCAGTAAGCTGCATTTTCCAAAGGTTCCATTGCCATGTACTGATTCATGTTCTTTGTCAACTGGACTGTATTTAGAATTGCCTAACAAACTTATGGGCATGTCTGTGAGGATATTTCAGAGAGACTTAACTAAGGAGGGAGAGAGCACCCTAAATAGAGGTGGCATTGTCCCATGGAGTGTAGTCCTTAAGTGAATAAAGAGGGGGGAAAAGAGGGTCTAGAAAGATGGTTCAGCTGTAAGAGTGCTTTTTCTTTGCTCGAAGGGGCCCAAGATCAGTTCTCAGAACCCATATGAGGTGGTTCACGACTATAACACCAGCTCTATGGCAATCCAAAGTCGTTTGCTGGTATCTGTAGGCAACTAGACTCAGGTACACATTCCACATTCCCCACATAAACACACACACACACACACACACACACACACACACACACACACACACACACACACACTTAATTTTAAAAAAAAGTAATATTAGCCGGGAGTTGGTGGCACACGCCTTTAATCCCAGCACTCGGGAGGCAGAGGCAGGCAGATCTCTGTGAGTTCGAGGCCAGCCTGGTCTACAAGAGAAACCCTGTCTCGAAAAACCAAAAAAAAAATATTTTAAAGGGAAAAGGAGAAACCAAAATCAGCACTAGAATTTCTCTGTGTCTTTTTCCTGGCTGTGACCAGCTGCCTTATGCACCTGCCACCATGGCTTCCTCCCTGTGTTGGACAGTATACTCTCAAATTGTGTGTGAAAATAAACCTTTAAGTTGTGTTCATCATCTATTTTGTCACAGCAATGAAAAAAAGCAACTACCGTGTGGATCCGGATGACAATATTTGGGCCTTTGGGTGACTTTCATATCTAAACTATAGTAAACATTGTCAAGTGTACAGGCAGACAGAAAGAGTGTGATGAAGCCCAGCTTTAGCAGTGACCACCATCTTACATTATTCCTTTCATTCTCTTATTGTTGTTTGTTTATGGAGTAGTCTAAACTGAGAATAGTTTAAACATTTTGTCAACTGTTTCAATATGCAAATTTGTTTAAAAGAATATTTTCTTCTGTGCCTCAATGCGATTATCCACCCACCGAATGAACACTGATGAACCCTCTGGTAGCCACCTCACAGTCTCCATCATCTTCAGTGAGTCTCATGACTCTGTTCTTTATACCAACTCTTAGGAACAAAACTCATATCATATATGGGAAAGTATTCCTTCCAGCTTCCTTTCACACATGATACTAGTTTGCACAAACTGTACTGGTTGACTTGTGAAAGAATATACCTTCTGGATCAGCCCAATTGTACCTCTGGCCTCAGGATCCTCTTAACACAGGACATTGAGTCCAAAAGCTCAACTCAGTTCAAAGGCTGCATTAGCTTGCAGTTAGATTGTGCCCAGAGTACTTTCCTGCTCATTCTGGTGACAGATCTGTCCTGCCCTCTGCTCCACAGTTAACTTAAGATTAGTATTTTGATGTGTGATGTCCCAGCCTCCTCCAATCTTCCACCTAGTAACTATAGTATCTGTCCCACCTAAAAGATACACCTTTTAAAAATATTTCAAAATTTTATTTTAGTACTGTTTAATTAATTAACTAAGTGTGTGTGTGTGTGTGTGTGTGTGTGTGTGTGTGTGTGTGTGTGTTGTTGTTCTTCCAGAGGATCCAATTTCAATTCCTAGCATCCACAGCAGATGTCTCACATCCATTTCTAACTCTAGCTCCAGGGGATCAGATTGTCTCTGGCTTTTAGAGACACTTGTACTCTTAAGCACACAGCCATATTACACACATCACCTCATCAGAGTGCCCCCACCCATCTCCTGTAGATCCCATTCCACTGTGTCTCACAATGGACCATTCTTCTCTTTTTGCTCACTAGCCACTCTGACTCTGCACCTGGAGGTTGCAGTATGTCTGTGGAGTTTTTTTTTTTTTAACATGGACCCAGACACTAAAGGAAGAGTGGAGCTCCAAAAATGGAGCTTCCAGGAATGTCTGAAAAATTGGAGGGATAGGATGATGGACAGAAGAGAGAGGTTTTTAAAAAAGGAAGAAGTGAAGGGGGTTAGGGAGACATCTCAGCTGTTTTTCCAAAGGATCAGGGTGTTGTTTTAGAACCCATGTGTGTTGTTTTAGAACCCACATGGTGGCTTACAATCATCTGTAATTTCAGTCCCGGATAATCTGACACCTTCTTCTGGCTTCCTCAGATACCTTGCACACACATGGCACTTAAACATACATGCAGTCAAAATAAAATAAATAAAAAATAATTTTTAAAAGGAAATGATAAAGAGGAAGACAAGGCTCATTTGGAAGGCTGGTCAGGGGTTCCTGGCATGTGTGCAAAGTCAGTATGTCATCCCTAGATCTTGGCCCACTCAGTGGGAGATAGAAAAGCCTGAAAGCTAAGTTTGGGAATGTGTTGGTGGCTGAATTGCATTGTGTCTCTAAAATATGATACTTGATGTCCATCCCTAACTGTCTGGGGAGATTCCCTTACTTAGAAGTAGAGCTTTGTGAATGTAAATAAGGTTAAAGAGAGGCCATATTGGAGTAAGGTAGGCCCTAATCCAATGAATAGTGTCATATAAGACTAGGGAAATTTGGATCTAAGTGCACAGAGAGAAGACAGCCATGTGAAGATTCAGGAAATGATTGGAAGGATGCAGCTATAAGCCAAGGATCACTGGATACTACGCAATGACTGATAGAGGCAAGAAGACCAGCATTCAGGATGAAGAGAGAACCCACTAACACCCAGATCTCAGGCTTCCAGCCTGCAAAACTGGAAGAAAGTGTGCATGTGTGGTTTTAAACCTCCCTCCAGCAAGTGGTACTTTGTTGCAGTGGTCCCATCAAGCTGTAACGAAAGTGATCATTGACCTAGGTTAAGCTTCCAGAGGAAAAAAAAAAAAAAAAAAAACACCATTGCCTCTGGCTTGTAGGAGGGCATAGGAACTGGCCTCTGGAGAAGAAATACGCCTTTTCTTTGGGACATATGGCTCACATACACCACAGTCTTGCCTTGCCCTGCTATTTGGCAAATAATAATAATAATAATAAACCAGGTTTTGAAGCAAGCCGCACCAGACCAGCCTGACCTCACTAACCCTCTTTGCACTTCTCTCAGCCTTCCAGCTGTGCTGTGGTTGGAGCCCTGACTATGGCAGCCATTCTTCTGAGAACAAAGCCCAAGGTAAGTAGTCAGCCTCTCTCTCACTGTCTCAGAAGTTGCCCTGAGCTGTCTCTCTCCGATGTTCTGCTTGGATCTTAGACTTCTCAGGTCAGGAGAGAGCTTTGCTGCCCCAAGCCCTGTGGCGTGGTGCTTTCCTGAGTTCCCTTTGCTAGGTTTTCCACATCTGTCTGCTCCTCTTTCCTGTGACAGTACTACTCGCTGCTGAGTTTCTCCTGACTGGTGAACTCTCCAGAGGCAGGAGGATCCCATATTTCTTTGTTTGTATCTAGGCTTAACATGGAATTTAATTCCCTTCCACACAAATTGCTTGTAGGTACCAGTATCTTTTGACGATGTGTCTGTGTACTTTACAAAGACAGAATGGAAGCTTCTTGATCTCAAACAGAAGAATCTCTACAAGCAGGTCATGCTGGAGAACTATAGCCATTTGGTGTCCGTGGGTAAGTGAACTTACCAAGTATACACACCCAGTCCCACCTACTGTCTCTGAACTCCAGTTCTGAATTTTCTTGCTGTTGATTGCTATGAACTGAAGAATAAGTACATTTCTTTATCTGATCCATACCTTGTAGATCAGCTGTGGTATCAAAAAGGAGTTCTCCTAAATAATTTGGACTTGTAAATACTCGGGATAAATTCAGTAATGATCTGTCAGACTCATTTTGCACATAAACTCAGACATTGACAAAGTATCTTTCTATACAGAAACAGATGCCTATTACACTGGAATGTTTACTTGCAGCATTTTAGACTCATTCCATTTTTACAACAGATGCATTTGGTATTCAACTTGCTTTATAGAAGTTAGCAATATCTTCCACTTACAATGGCCATGAGGCCCCATGCTAGGTTCAGGCAATGCACTTGGTTCCCAAGTCTGAAGAAATCTAGGCAGGAGCTGGAACAACTTCCAGCCAGCTGCTCTCTTCTTACTTCAACATGCTACATCCTCCTGTGTTTGTGATCTACTAGAGGATGTTCATCTTGCCAGTTCCAGGCAAAATCAAGATTCACAGGTTGTGTGGATGAACTCAAAGGCACTGAGAAGTGAGTGACAAGAGTCATGTGTCCCAACTTCTTCCTCTAATGAACAGTGTCTAAGCTTGGGCCTTCCTCTTTGCTGACATCTTCCTTCCCTGGGTTCTCTCTGACCATCAAGGAAAGTTTGGGGACACATCTTCCCTTAAGACTTCTAGAATTCTCACTTGAGTTTAGTGGATAAATATGCTGCCCCAAGCATATGACTAGGGTGCTTTTTCTTGGCTATACTTTCTGAAGAGTTCTTTGCTCTCTGAAGACACAGGATGAGCTAGCTCTGTTTAAAAATTATTCTGTCCTTAGCTAGAAAGGTGCTGATTTTCTTTATTTCTGTGAACAGGATTCGCTGTCTCAAAGCCTAACCTTGTGTCCCAGCTGGAGCGAGGGGAGAAGCCCTGGATTACAGATGGTGGAATAGGGGCTACAACAGGATCCTGTGCTGGTGAGCAAGGAAGGTACCCTCAGCCAGCTTGGTAGTGTTGAGGATAAAAAGCAAGGGCTGGACTAAGGAAGGTGGTGTGGATGCTAAAACTTTGGATGAGACATCCTCTTTAGTGAGGGGTGTTGGTGTCCCCAATGCTTCCCTCCTTTACTGGGCATGGATGAAAAGAGACTTTGGATACCCTGGTGTCTACCACTGCAGCTCCACTGCACTTTCCAGCATACCCTGTAGAAAGAGCAGAAACTCTCCCTCCTGCCTGCCTGATGGTTTTGTTGTTGTTGTTGTTGTTGTTGTTGTTGTTGTTGTTTATTCCACAGTTCCTTAGTGGGAAGATGAAAATCGGGGAATGCTCCACAAAAACCTAAGGAAGTGACACTGTTTGTGGCTCTGTCATTACAGGGAATGGGATAAAGAACAAGACACTGACTTCAAAACCAAAACTTTTCGGAAGAGGTCTCCTTAGAGACACCTCGGGATCGTCAGTGCAGAGACGTCCTCATGACTTCAGGCCAAATCCCATTGTTAGGTACCAGCACTCCAGAATCGCAGATAAGCGCTATCTGTGTCAGCAGTGCGGAAAATCCTTCAGCCGCAGCTCCAATCTCATCAAGCACCGGATCATCCACAGTGGCGAGAAACCCTACAAGTGCAGCGAGTGCGGGAAGCTGTTCCGGCGCAGATTGGCGCTGCTGGAGCATCAGCACATCCACAGCGGCAACAAACCCTTTGAGTGTGAGGAGTGTGGTAAAACCTTCACCCGCAGCTCCAACCTTGTCAAGCACCAGATCATCCACAGCAGCGAAATGCCCTTCATGTGCCGAGTGTGTGGCAAGGTGTTCCGGAGGAGCTTCGCGCTTCTTGAGCATGCCCGCATCCACAGCGGCGAGCGGCCTTATGAGTGTGGTGAGTGTGGCAAGGCATTCAGTCGCAGCTCCAACCTCATTGAGCACCAGCGTACCCACAGCGGACGGAAGCCCTACATCTGTCAGGAGTGCGGCAAGCCCTTCAAGGGCATTTCGCAGCTCATCCACCACCAGCGCAGTCACCGAGGTGACAGGCCAGTAGCGTGCCGTGAGTGTGGTAAAGCCTTCCGTGGCCACTCCGGCCTTAGCCAACACCAGCTAGTGCACAGTGGCCAGAAGCCCTATGAGTGCAGCGAATGTGGCCGGGCCTTTGGTCGCCGGGCCAACCTCTTCAAGCACCAGGTGGTGCATGGTAGTGTGAGGCTCCAGCGCCATGGCCTTGGGAAGGGGCTCCAGCATGGCTGCATGCTCCTGGCCCAGGAAGCCGGGGAAGGCAGCTCCTCAGAGCCCCAGCCCGTCGACACCAGTGAGAAGCCCCAAGTGTGTGAGCGCTGCGACCAGGTCTTCGAGAACAAGTTGCTGCTGTGTCGCCATTTGCGCATCCATGATGACGAAGATGACAAGAAACAGAAGCTGATTACTGCCAGCACCTCAGGTTTGGAGGAAAAGTCACTGCTCAGCCAGGATCTGCAATGCCAGCCAGCAGAAGAAAGCGACAGCAAAAACAATGTAAGTTTCCTGTGCGCTGAGAAGGCCCAGGGCCCATCCTCACCTTGAGACTGGAAACAGGGCAGCAACTCAGAATGACAGGGTGGCCCCACCCACCCTGTGTTATCTGCCCTACTCCTTCCCTGATGGGTAGAAAAGGAAGGCTCCCTCCCTAGTCTTTGATTATACAGTTGATGCCTAGAGATTGCACAGGAAGGCTCCTCGAGAAGCCTAGGCAGGGTACTGCAGTGTATGCTTAGGTGTGTCAGTGAGGTCTCCAGGTGAGCAGATTTGCATAATCCAGAGTTGGTCTCTCCCATCCACATGAGAATTGCCTGATATGGTTGGGAGACAAGCAGCAGTGTCCAGCCAACACTAAGCACAGTTACATTGAAGTTTACAGAGGGATGAACCATGTCCTTTCTCATGTTAACATGTTAGTGGAATGGTTGCCTCCCCTTAAGAGTTGTTTGTGTTTCTATTTAGAGCATACTAAAAGTACTTTATTTCATTAAAAGTTTATAAGTTGAGAGTGGCTCTAAAATTAGCCTAATGCTTTGCAGAAAAGCACAAGAGCACCCTGCTGTCCTGGAGCACAAACTATGCTTGTCAGTGAAAACTTGTACCCTATGTATGTGCCCCTTGCTGCTGCTTGGGGGGTCTGTACCAAATGTTGCAGAGAGGTTAAGGTCAAGGGACCCTGAGGGTCTTCTTTTTGGGAGAAGAGCTCCTTTCCTCTGGTCTCTCACTGGAACAGGGTCTAGGTAAGACATGGCAGCATTTGTACCCCCATCACCCTGCTGGCTTCAGTCTCCTCCCCTCCCACTCAGTGAAGGCCATACTGGCCACTCCTACCCCTCTACCCCAGTGCCTAAAGCTTCAAGTTTGTCTGCTAATCCATTTTAAGGCAACCCACTTTGTGGTGATGACAACTTAGGAATTTGTACTTAGATGGCCCCCAAAATGAGTCTGGTCAGACAGTTATCTTTCAGATAACATTTCTTAGAATATTAAAGTTGCCTTCCCAACCCATGACTGATGGTGTGGTGGTAAATGTGGCCCTCTGAGTGATGTGACAACCCCCACCTCCCTTCCTTTAAGCCTGGCTGGCTCCTTAACTGGAACATTATTGAAAAGGAAGCCAGAGGCAGTCATATTCCTCCTTTGGTATCCCTCAGTATAGTTAGCTCAGCATCCTGGATACCAAGCTACTCTCTAAACCTCTCCTATCCTAGAGGAAAGACTTTGTCGCAAAGGTTGCCTAAGGATAGGTTGGTGGTACAGGTGAAGTGGAGGCAGCTCTTGGGCACTCCAAGGAAGAGTGATGGCACCTTCTCTGCCATTTGAGTGAGGATCAAAGACAGCTGCATCCTGACAAGAGAATATGGAAAGACCTGAAAACCCAAGATGCTGGTTGAACACACACACACACACACACACACACACACACACACACACACACACACACCCTCACGGTTTATGTATATAAAATGTTTTGTGTAAAGTTTCGGTTTGTAACTTGCTCTTATTTCTGTCCTCCAGTAGATCCCCTTCTTCTAGTCCTGTGATTGTTTACTTGTCTGTGAGCCTGCAGCTGTGTATCATGCTCAGCCTTGTGTCCTCACTCCAAACCCCATGCTGAGTACTAGTGAAAAAGCCTTCATCTCTTGCTATGCAGGATTTGTGCTATGTAGTGGTTAGCTTCAGTGGCTCATGGATGTAGTCCAGAGTATCTGTCACTTAGATCTCCCAATAGAAAAAGAGATACTAAGAACAGTGCCTTTTAAGTCCCTGGTGGAGTAATTGTTCAGACAATCTCTGCTAGGGCTGGCACAGATACAGGAAACTAGGTCTCATTCAGAGCGGGTGCCCACAGTAGGAAGCTCTATGCAAGTTCTGTCACATGCTCTTGGGTGTTGATTTCCATGGCTCTAGGAAGTGAGTGAATGATACCTATCCTCCAAGCCAGTCACCAGCTTCTATACCCAAGGATAAGTCCCTAGATGAAGGATCATTTGCATGCATTTTCAGCAGAAAGTGGGCTCTGCAGGGAGAGATGTGTAAAGCACTTCAGAGTGGAATACCTTGAAATGTTCCAGGGTCCCCAATGGTAGCCTACATACATAGCAACACATCTCTTTGTCAGTTCTGTACTTTACTTCCTGTATCATGCTCAGCCTTGTGTCTGCACTCCAAACCCCATGCTGACAGTTAGAAGTAGTGAGTTTTCTCAGGTATGGTAGTCAGGTGTGTAAAATTAACAGAATGGGTTTCTCCTGGAATAAAGTCAGAGTAACCAGAGGGATACTTGTGCTTTTCCTTGTTTTGTGCCTGAAAATTGCTTCATCCCTCAAGCTGGATGGGGAATGGGGCTAATTGATCATTTGTGTGTTTTGAGGAGCAACTAGATTATAAAAGCTTAAACTATCAAAACTCCTGTAGTTTTCTAGTTCCTCCTCTTCCTGTCCCCCCATACTTACCTTTGGACCATTTGCCTTGTAAGACTTTGGGTGCTTTTCAGGTGCTGTGTAAATGTCCTAGCAGTGTCTCCAGGAAACTGCAAGATGGTCTTCTCTGAATTTATCATTAGATATAATTTTCAACATTTTTTGTTGGTTGAAAGAAAGACAACTACTTGGAAAGGGGCTTTCCCATGTGGAGAGGAGCTGTTCCCAGGATTAAAGTAAACACATAGGTAGTGGATTCAGTGTTACAAGCAAGAGTCAAGTCTGACCTAAAAAGACCCTAGCATGATGGGGGGGGGTTTCCTCCCCCTGTGCATGCCCCTGCCTTATCTGCCCAGGGTGCAGGTTCTCACGGGATCCCATGCTGCAATTCTGAGAACAGACTTGACTAACAGTTTCCTTAACAGAAAACTCCCTCAGTCTTCTAAGAGACACCACTATACCTGCCTTCTGGTTTTTGTTTTTCTGCTACCAAGTTTCAGGCAACATGGAAGCATCTAGCCTTGCAGCTTTCCAGAGAGGGAGTAGAATATAGGGATTTCAGGGTGGGGCAGGGGGTATTGCTGAAGAGTGCCTTGGGTTGGAGTGGGGAGGATGGAGTGTATTAGGGAAGCTCAGAATGCACACAGGCTTCTCTAGGACAGCTCTGAGTCAGGAGCTGCATTACTCTGGAGTATGGAACACCTAGGATCACGTGTAGGAAGTTAAACTCTAGCTGGTCCCAGATCAGCAATTTTCCTAAACAAAAATTGCAGTTACTGTTAATGAGATCTGCTATGGGAGTGAGTGCACACATTACCAGCCACTATGGTCATCTAGATAGTTTTAGGTCTGTGAAATATCCACATAGAGATGGCCTCCATGAAGAGGTAGTGTGAAAGAAGAGGAAGGAATCAAGGGATCTCACACATCTTCCTCTGAGTCCCCACTTGCCCTGGCATTTGTAGCTAGCTTAACGTTTTTGTGAGCCCCAATTCATCTGTGATTTCACAAAACAATGGTCCTCTGAGATTTCTGGACATTTTCTTCATGAGGCCATTTATTTGGGGTAGTGTTGTTTTAAGCCTGTGTAACTCTGTGTAGCCCAGGCTGGCCTTCCACTCTTAACCCTCCTGCCTCTGCCTCCTAAGTGCTGGAATTACAGGTTCGGGCCACCATGCCTGACTTCTGCAGATTCTTACATTCTTATATTAAAGGTAGCATCAAGTTCGAGGTCTTGAACATTTTTGAGAACAATGCCTCATTTTGTGCTCAATTATGTTACACCTGGTCCCTCTCCATCACCTGGGAATGTTGAAAGCAGAAATGAAGCTTACTGTGCACTTGGAGGCTCCTGACGCATTAACGTTCTTTGGTAAATTGATAGCTGTATATACAGCTTAAAGTGTGCAATTGTGGGTGGATTGTGATGGGTGTCTGTACCCTTAAAACCATCCTTACTGTCAAGTCAGTGAACATTCAGCATCTTAGCAAATAACTCCTCCTTTCTGGTTCCTCCCTGTCCCCTGTCCTTACAACCACTGCTTTCTATCACTAGCGATTAACTTCTATATAAATGGACTTCCAAAGTATTTGTCTGACCTCTTAGTGCCATTTTGTAAGATGTTTCCAGGTATTTGTGTGTATATCCACACTTCATATTTGTCCCATTGTATACATGCCCCCAATATATGTTGCTGCCTATTAATTAATATTTACTTTCTTTCCAGTTTGAGACAAATAAAGCTGCTATGAGTGTGTATACACATTCCAGTGTGAAAGTGTTTTTTATTTCTTGAGTATATAGCTATGAGTGGAAGAGCTGGCTCATATGGTGACACATTGTTTAACTTGGGGGAAGAACTGCCAAACTATTCCAAAGCACTTGAATTATTTCATATCACCAATAGCTGTTGTATGAGACTTTCAGTTTCCCCCACCTTCATCAACATTTATTGTTGTCTGTCTTAGTGTAACCATCCTAGTGTGGGGGAAGTTGTAACTCATTGTGGATTTGATTTGAATTTCCTTCATGATTAAAACATTGAACATCTTTGCATGTACTTTTGACCATATTTCCTTTGAAAAGTGTGTTGATTTCTTGCCCATTTTAATTGAGTTGTCTTCTTACAAAGAAACTAGAAATATCAATTCATCATCAAATATATTTCTAACAAATAATTTTATTCAAAACTAGGTATTTTAAGTTTTTAGTTTGTATTTTTTGGGTGGCTCACAGTTAAGAACTCTTTTTTATGCAAACTGCATGAAGCTTTATTATAGTTGTTT